GATCTCCCGCGTCCCCGCCACCGCCCTGCCCCACCCTCCGACACCCCCTGCGTTCCAGTGTACACCTAACCCTAGCGGCATGCCCCCAGTCACTACCCCCAGCTTCAGTCAGCCCCAGACAACGCCACTCTCATCCTGTCAGCAAGCAAGCGGCTCGCAGCAGCGACCGGTGCGGCGGCGGCGGCGGCGGCCTTGTCGCGCAGCCAGCCCGACGCACGTCGGCCCGGCACGGGCGCTGTCCCGAGAAGAACACCACCCCAGCTCCCATTCAGCCAGCCTGCCGGCCACCCACCCCAACGCACGTCCCCCGTGCCGCGGGCCACGGCCCGGGCGCCCCAACAATTCAGACCCCAAATTCCTTGGCGCCTCCCCGGTGGGAGCGGCCCCCTGCCTGGACAGGCCGCCCCCATCTAGTATCTAGTGTGGTGTGTGTGTGTGTGTGTGCTCCACCCACCCTTTCTTTTGTCCCCAGCGGATGCTGCTGCGGCTCCCAGGCACCTTGCCGGGGCCCGCACCTCGGAGTGTCTTGCATCCCGCTGCGTGTGGCGGCGCCGCCGCCTGCCCTGCCGCCCAGCCCCCGCCTCCGGCTGGGCTGCCGGCGGCGGCGGTGCCGCCCTCGTGTCTCCCCACCCACCCCAAACGCCCCGCACCTGCGCCGCCGTGCTGTGCACGCGCGGCGCCCCCTACTCCACACCCCCTCCTCCCTGTTCGTTTGTTCCTTTCCCTCATTGTGTGCTCTGCTCTCTGCCTCCCTGTTGCTGCCGGGGCGCCCTCTGACCGCCCCCCACCCGCCCGGCACATTGCTGCTGGCGGGGCGACGCGGGGGCGGCTGCGCGCGCCGGGCGGAAATTTCATTCCGACGGTTTCATGCAGGTCGCTGCACACTTGGACTGGCTTGTTCCACACTTGTAACACCGTGTTAACTGTCGTGGGGAGGGGGTGGAGGCTGCGGCAAGAGGCAAGAGGCAAGCAAACTGGCGCCCTTGGGCTGGCGGCGGGAAAGCGGCGAGGTGGCATGCATGGATGCGGGGCAAGGCCTCTGTCCTCTCCATTCCGATTGCAGACGCGGGAAGGGCACTGGAGCCCAGTTGGTGCGGCACTCTGCGGGCCTGTGGGCGCCAGCGCCACCTGCTGCGAACGTCCCCCACGCGGTTGAACTTCCCCGAGCACCTCCATCCTCCCTGCTGTCCTTCATACTCTTCTGCCTTGTGGAAACCTCCATCCTGCGCTGCGCTACGAGAAGAAGCTCCGGTGGTGATCGAAAAGTTCCTCAGCACAGGTGCACCCCCGACAGCCCAAAACAGCGCTCGCCTAGCGCCCCTTGCATGCTAGCAGCCCAGCCAGCGGTGCACGGGCCGCAGGAGGCGGCAAGCGGCCGGCCTGGTACACCTGCTGGCGGCAGCCTGGTACACCAGTTGGCAGGCAGCGGCGCAGGTACAAACCCAGCATGGACACATTCCATTGAAAGCCCTTTTCCCGCGGGTCCTGCCCACCTCTCTGCAGGCGAACTAGCGACATGGTTTGCCCCGTGTGCATTACAACCGCTCTCGTGGCCAATGCCCCCGCCATCGCCGCGGCAGCGGCCGCCGCCGCGGGCGCCAAGGCCGCCACCGACGCGGCCAGCCGTGCGAGCGCGCCGCCCCGCGTGAAGCAGCAGCAGCCGTTGCCGACAGAGGCGGCCAAGGCCCACTTTGCCAGCCCCGGGCGCCAGCTGCTCAAGGCGGCGCAGCGCACGTCGCTGGCTGAGGGGCGGCCGGGCGGCGATGGCGTCGAGTGAGCGGCTCCGTGAGCCTCAGGTGTGCAGCACACCAGCACGTGATGCGATGTGCTGCCCCCGCTGCAAGTAGCGGAACTTGGTGCAGTTGCGCTCATTGCACACCAACCTGCCTGTTTGGCCTTGGGCGAGCCGGCCCGTGGCCAACAGCCTGTACCAGCTGTCTCCCTCTGTACCAGCCGTCTCTTCAATCTGCCCCCGCCCCTCTGCTGCATCGATGCTGATCTCATGCCATTGCCGTTTGATGGCCTTGAAAATATATACAGGCTCGCTGTGTGAAGTGTAAAGACTAGCCGGACACGCAACGATATGGCTGAAGGGCTTGCGGGGGCGAATGAAACACACGAGCAGCAGGGAAGGGGGCACTGCTGTCGCTGGGAGGGCAAGGGGCGCAGGGCAAAATTGGGGCTCAAGCCCACTTGATGCTGGACATGACAGGGCCTCGCATGCACCGGGCTCACGATAAAGCAACAGAAACTCGATAAAACAACAGACACTCAACAGACCACTGGCCAGGCTCAGCACCAGCCCGGCCCCTGCTGCTCCGGCGCCGCCCAGCGCAGCCGCCGGCCGCGCCCCTGTGCGGCCGCGGCCGCGGCTGCTGGAGGGTCGTCGGCGGTGCGGTCGGTGTAGTGCTTTTTGAGGAAGGACAGCAGGGCGTGGGCGTCCTCGAAGCGGCTCATGTAGCCGAAGGAGGCGCGCAGCGAGCCCAGGGGCAGCCGCACCAGGCGGCTGCCGCCCTCTGGCCCAGCCTCTGGGTCGGGAGCGGTGCCGCCGGTGGGCACCGTCACCTTCCCCTTGCGCCGCACCCACACCCATTCCCAGTCGCTGCGGCGGGGAGGAGGCAGGGGTGGAGGCATGAGCGGTAGGCCACGCACGTGCGTGGCAGAGGGCAGCCTGTGGGGGGCACGATGCCAGCTGGCTGGCCGCACCCAGCAGGCGTGCCAGTCGCAGGGCAGGGCAGGGACCGGCCGGCCCGCTGGGAGGCCTGACCTGAAGTTGCCGTGAGCCTGCTCCGCCGCCGCCGCCACCTCCTCGTCTCGTATTCCCAGGGAGGCGTAGCAGGATCCCGGGTTGCAGGTGCAGCCGCAACGCATGTGGAACCCAGCCTCAGCCAGCGCCGTGGCGGCCCGGCGGTAGCTGAACACCTGCAGGCCCCCGGGGGGGTGGCAGCAGTGCGAGGCGGGGCTGCCAAGTCAGCAGCCGCTGCCTGCGTTTGTGCCAACGCCAGCCCCAACCCCAGCCCCAGCCCCAGCCGCGCAGGCAAGCAGGCGTCCGATGCTGGTGCAGCGCAGCTGCTGCTGCTGGGGCGCACCTCTCCGTTTGGCTTGAGGATCTGGAAGTTGAAGGTCGACCCCTGCACCTCCCGGCTGCAACAGAAGCGCAGCCACACAGCAAAAAGCTTGACTGCTGCAGGCAGAGCACTGCCGGCAGGGCAGGGCCGCAGCAGCGCATGCGCCCCACCCCAGCAGGCACTCGGGCTGCGCACCTGTCGGGCCGGTGGTGGCGGCCGAAGATGTGCAGCAGCGGCGCGCCGTTGCCGTGCCGCAGCGCCGCCAGCTGCTCGTACAGCCAGGCGCGGATGGCGGAGGTGTGGCGCTCGATGGCCGCCTGCCCGCCCAGTGCTTCATACACCTGCAGCCTGCAGCTCGGCAGGGGCCGCGGGCAGGGCAGGAAGCCGTGAGGCTGGCATCTGCAGGGGCGCCTGGGCTGAGGAGCCGCGGCGCCTGGCTCAAGCGGGGAGCAGCCGCCCCTCTGCTGGCCTGCCCCCCAATGGGCACACTCCCCACCCCCACACACCCCTGCCCCCGGGCTCACCCCTGGTGCAGGGACATGATGTTGAGGAAGGGTAGCGTGCCGTCCTCAAACCGCTCGGGGCCCTGCGGGCGGTAGTGCTTCCAGTCCAGGCGGGAGGTGGCCAGGAAGACGGAGCCGCCGCCCCAGTACACCTTCCTGCACGGCCAGGCAGTACGAGGCGGGACGGGCTGCTGCTCAGCAGGCAGAGGAACCAGAGAGACCGGCGGCGGCGGCGGCCGGGACGACGCCCCCCGCAGCCAGCGCAGCCAAGCTCCCCGCAGCCAAGCTCCGCCCCGGACCCGCAGCCTCCCAGCCGGGGAGCGAGGCGGCCAGCGGGGGCCGTGCCTGGCAGCTGCTATGTCTTCCTTGCGCGCCACCCACGCGCCCACGCCGGTGGAGTATCCAAAGAGCTTGTAGAAAGAAATGCACACATGGTCCGCGGGTGTGTCGGTGAGGTTGAGCGGGTGGGCGGGCAGGAAGGCGGCGGCGTCCAGCAGCACTTTCCACCTGTGCCGCGCGGTGCTCAGCCCCTGCACCGCCCGCACCCAACGCAGAGGGTACATCACCTGCGCAGGCGGCGGCAGGGGCGGCAGGCGGCGTGCAGGCAAGTCAGGCAGGCGCGTGGCGCGTGGCAGCGGTGCTCCCGCCGCCGCCGCCGCCGCCTGCTGGAGGCGCCGACCAAGCAGCCGGCGCCTGTTCTTCCAGCCCGCTCACCCCTGCAAAGTTGTCGTAGGCTGGGAAGGCAAACAGGCTGTACTCTGGCTCGCTGGCGCCCGCCGCCACGCTGGCACCGCCCGCTGTGCCGCCGTCGCTGCCTGCATCGCCCAGGCCGCGAAGCGAGGCCTGCTCCGGCCGCTGCGCGAGCAGCTGCCGCCGGCTGTGCGGCTGCGCCCCCGCGCTGCGGCCGTGGGTCCCGCTCTCGCCGCTACCGCCGCCGCCGCCGCCGCTGCCCTCGCTTCCTCGCAGGATGGGCGGCAGGGCCGCGTCCGCGGCGTCATCCTCGCCGCCTCCGGCCGCCGCGCGCAGCCACGCCTCCACCTCCTCCTCCTCCACCGCGCCAAAGGAGGCCCCCGCTGCCCGCGCGTGCTCCCGTATGCCCAGCACGCTGTTGTGGTTGGGCACCAGGTAGGCAAAGCGGCTGGCGGAGGACCAGGGAAAGGTCTCACCCAGCTCCCGCAGCGCCCCGGTGCCCGAGCGAGTCCACACCACCTGCGGCGGCCGGGTGGCGGCGGGCAGCGCGTGTGTGGGAACGGGTGGTGGGGGAGCCGGCTGGCGCAGGAGGCCACAAGGGCACGCTGCAGGTGTTGGGGGCGGGGCGGAGGTGGCGCCGGCGCTGCCAGCGCTGCTGGCACGCGCAAGATGCCAGGCCCTCGGTTGGGGCACGGCCGCGCCCCCAGCTCACATCGTACTGCTGCGGGTCCGCCCTGCACGGCAGCCGGCATGATGCAAGTGTGGGTGCGTTGCGGATGCAGCATGCATGTGCTGCTTGCTCTCTGGATGCTGCGAGCGTGCCGGGATGTGCAGCCATGGGACGCCAGGCGGGCAGCAAGCGCGGTGCGTGGCGAAGCAGCATCTGCCACGCACCCCAGGAAGCGCAGCACCCGGCGCCGCAGGTCCTCCACCAGCCGCTCGGTGCGCAGGGAGGAGGGGTTGGTGCTGTGCGGGTTGCCGAACGCCGCGCTCTCCAGCTCCTGCGGGCGCCGGTACAGCCCCGTGGGCAGGAGCGTGGGGCGGGGAGGCGGGGAGGCGCGCCCCGTGTGCGGGCCGATGCGGGCGTGCAGCAGGGCGCTGCAGCAGGCCCCGCTGGCAGGCCCCTGCCCACCTTTAGCGCCGCTGCCACTTGGGAGTTCCAGTAGAGGCTGGAGCCTGCGGAACGGGAGAGGGGGTGCTGTTTTCGTTTGGTCTGCCGGGGCGGGTCCAGCCCTCGCTGGTGCCCCTGGGGCCCACCTGTGTAATCCAGATAGTGCTCGTCGCTGGGGAGGCGCGGCCCCACCTCCTGCAGCCATGCTCCAATTATGAATGTTGGGCACAGAGCCAGAAATGCAGGGAGTCCCTAGAGCGCACAACGCTGCCGCTATGGTGTCGTGCCGCTGCCGGGGCGGCAGAGAGAAGGCACACCAACCGCGCGGCCCCCAAGCCCCGGCGGCGCCCGATCGCTCAGTGGTGCCCTTTTGCACGTGGACCCGGCTGCACGTTTGCCGCAATGTGCATGGAAGGCTGGTCCACTCTTGGCCACCCACCTTCGCCCATAGCTCATCTATGCGGCCCCCGTAGCCATAGTCATTTCCGAAGCGCTCCAAGAAGCCCTGTTTCGATGACGCAAAGTCCCCATCCCCAAAGGCATTGGCCAGTGATGTGAGGCTCAGCGAGGTGGCAAAAAGGAGCCACAGCATCGTTATTGCATCGCACAATTGGGATCAAGCCTTGATGTCGCAGAATAGGAGGACGACGGGACATCTGTCTGCTGGCACTCCGCTGCCAACAGCTGGCAGTCGGCTGTGGAAAGTGGGCGATTAGCGCGCCCGTGACACGATGCCTCCCCGCTCATTGGTGGCCTGTGGTGGCATTGCGATCGGGAGGGCCAGCGGAGACCTGCACGACCGTCCAGGGTTGTTTTTGCACATGCCTTCTGCGGAGGAGCTTCGGGCCCCGCTGCTCAATGGGGACAGCTTGGAAGCAGGAGCTGGGTATCGCAGCGACGGCGATGGCCAGCCAGTCTGCAGCCCTGCGCCCTCCCTGCCAGACGGGGAGCTACTAGCACACGTGCTGGAGCCGGAGGAGGCAGAGGAAGGCCGCGCGCCCTGCCACGGGTGCTCCACAAGCGGAGGGGTACGCGCCAGCGGTGTGCAAGCCACTACACCATGCGCGTGCATGGCGGCAGGCCGCCGCCACCGTGCCGCCGCCTCCTCCTGGTGTCATTTCCTGGGCTGTGGCCAACCCCGCTTAACAGTGAGGCTTGCTGGTGCTGCCTGTGCCTTGCCAGTGGCCAATCTAAGTGACGACGGCGTAGGGGGCGGGCATGCTGGCGCTGCCGTGCGCGGTATCAAAGGCACGCGTGGCTGCCGCCGCCAGCATCCCCCTGGGGGTGGCTTGTGGCGACGTTGCTGATTGGACACTGCACTGCCCGTAGGGTGCACCAGCAGCTGCATCTGGGTCGTGCACAGCAGCATCGCAGCGCCCGGGACCGGCCTGCCTCCCAGCTCACCCTTTGTGTGCCTGCGCCCACCGGCCCGCGCCGCCGCGCCGCGCAGACAGGCATCCTGCTGGGCGCCTCGCTCTTCTGCCTGGTGGCGCTGCTCACCTTTGTGTCGTGTACCATCATCGTGAGGTGAGCGAGGGGGGCAGGGGGGGAAGCAGTAAGGTACCGTGCACGCATGCAGCCCGTGCGACTCAACCGGCAGGTCTGCACCGCCGGCCGCGACCCGCTTGGCCGCTCAGCCCATGGCTCTCACCACCTCCCAGCACCCCGCCCCCGCAGGTACGCCGCGGCCGCCAACGTCTGCTCCTATGGCGAGCTGGTGACGCAGAAGTTTGGGCGCAGGGGCAGCATCCTGCTGCAGTGCGCCATCACCGTGCACGTCTCCGGGGTCATGGTGGGCGCCAGCGCCGCCGCCGCCGCTGAAGGCCGCGTAGCCCCCTGGCCTGCGCCGGACGTGCTGTCGCCCGCCGCCTCCCAGCATCCAGCCGGCCAGCCAGCCCCGCCAGCCCCCCGCCAGCCCACCCTTTCCCGCCCTCTCTTCCACCTGCGCAGGTTGGGTACAACGTGATCATTGCCGACATGCTGGTGGGGTCTGCGCCCAACTTCACCGGCATGCTGCCCACGGTGAGGGCAGGAGGGTGGTGTGTGTGTGTGTGTGTGTGTGCACATATGCGGGCCTGCAAACACGCAGAAGCGAGCCGAGACGTGGGGATATGCTGGGGCCCAGCCAGGCCCGAGCCGCTCCCCGCCATCACTGCCCCCCCGCTGCCCCCTCCTCCCCCCGGGCCCTGCCCGCGCAGGTGCTCAACCGGCACGACAACCCTTGGTGGCTGGCGCGCCCCGCTGTGCTGGCATACCTTATGGTGGGCGTGGTGTGCCCCACCCTCATCCCGCGCTCCCTGCGCGCCGTCGCCCGCTTCTCCAGCTTCTCCGTCTGCATGCTGTTTGTGCTGGCAACAGCCATCGCGGGGCTGGCGGCGGCGGCGGTGGCGGAGGGGCGCGTGGCGCCCGGCGTGCACCTGCTGCCAGCCGCCGCCGCGCTGGGCCCCTCGCCCTTCCAGATGCTCAATAACATCCTCACCGTCATCTCAGGTGGGCCTGTCCTCTGCCTGCCTGCCTGCCCTGCCTGTCCTGCCTGATTTTGAAAGCAAGCTGCGGGTAGCGGGTCAGGCGCCTGCGCAGCCCGGCCCGCGGCCGAGGCGACGGGCAGGAGGTGCGGCGCTGCTCGCTCGCTCTCGCCCGCCCGGCTCTCACCCCCGCTGCCCCGGCACCCCTGCCCTGGCACCCCTGCCGCAGTGAGCGCTCTGGCCTTCACCTGCCAATTCAACCTGCTGCCCATCAAGCACTCGCTGCGGGGACCCAGCCCCAACGGCATGCTGCGGGTGCTGTTGCTGGGCCTGGCGCTTTGCGCCCCCCTTTATGCAACTGTGGCCATCAAGGGGGAGCACCCGGGGTTGGGCCAAGGGGCCAAGGGGGAAAGGGCCGGGCAGTTGGGACGGTGCCTGCCTGGGGCGGCATACCCCTGGTGGTGGGGGGGCCTGGCTTGGGGTGGGGCCCCCCACCCCAAGGCCCTTTTTTTTTTTTTTTTCTCCCCCCCCCCCCCTGTGCTGCACGCCGCGCGCCCCCCCCGCCGCGCAGGCTACGCGCTGTTTGGGCAGGGGGTGGAGGGCGATGTGCTCAAGGACCTGACGGTCAGATTTGTGTCGGGGCTGGTGCCCCGCACCACGGCGCTGCTGGTGGTGTATGGCGTGGCACTCTCCTGTGAGACCTGGCTGGCTGGCCGGCCGGCTGGCTGCGCCGTGGGCCGTGGGCAGCTGCTCGTGTCGCTTGCTGCAGCGTTGGGTGGGGGTGGGGTTGCAGCGGCCTGGGCCGGCCGGCCGGGTGTGCGTGGCGCGCTGCAAGAGGGCTGGCGCGTGCCTGGCGCTGCCGCCGAGTGCAGGCGCGGCAGGATGCAGCCGCGTGCGAGCCTCTGCTGGCTGCACTGCGCGTGTCGACCCGCCCGCCTGCCTGCCCCCGCCGCTCCGCAGACACACTGTGCCTGCTGGCCAACTTTGTGCTCAAGGTGTGGGCGGTGCGGGAGGCGGTGGTGGAGATGGTGGTGCAGCGCCCCGCCGCCCACCTGCCGCCGGGACCCTTCTACGCCATCACCGCCGCCCTGGTGGCCCTCGCCTACTTCATCTCGGTGCTGGTCCCCTCCATCTATGTGAGCCCGGGGGGTGGCAGCAGGCAGCCTGGTGTTGGAAGTGGTGGCGGCGGCGGCGGCTTGTTTTATTCCATGTATGTGTGTGTGTGTTGGGTGTCTCGTGGGCAGCGACGCGAGGCCGAGGCAGGGGGAACCAAAGTCCGAAGCGGTACCACAGCGGCCACCCGGCGCCTGCCCGCCGCCGATCGCCGCCACCCCCTCCCCGCCTGTGTTTCGCGCCTGTACAGGGCCTGCTGGCGCTGGTGGGCGCCACCGCCACCGTCGTCTTCTCCTACCTCTTCCCCTCCCTGCTGGTGCTCAAGGGCGGCTCCACCGGCGCGCAGCGCGCGGGGGCGGGCGCCCTGCTGGCGCTGGGTGCCGCCATGTCGCTGACTGCCGTCTATGACCACCTCACGGGCCAGGGGCTGGAGTAGGGATGGGCTCAGTGTGCTTTCCTTTTTGCAACGGACGGCCCCCTGCCGGCCTGCGCTCGCGCTTTGGTTGAGCGCACCTGCTGCCTGCCTCTGAGCGCGTGCCGTTCCTGGCAAGTGCCGCGGCCTGCTCACCTCCCTGCGCTTTCCTGCGCCGAGGTCGGCTGCCTTCGGCCCTCCTTTGGACTGCCCATCTTATTTTACTTGCTGGTGCAAGTATGAGAATGTCTCTCCGCCTGCTGGAGTGCGCCGCCTGTGGCTCCCGTTGCCTTGGGCCCAACATGTGGCCAGCACTTCCGTTTACTGCACTCTCTGCTTGCTTCCTTTGCTTGTTTGCTCCCTCCCTACCCTCCTAATCGTATCCCTTTATACCCTTCCAAAGCCTAAACCCCACGCACTTCTCATGCTTGTCCTGTGAGTGTGGGGCTTGGCCCTTTGCGCTGCCGACCAGGTGGCTGTGCAATTGATTGTGACCGACGTGTGACTCCAGAGTGGAGTGCACGTCAGGACAAGGCAGAGCATGATGATGGCATAGGCATGGGAAACCCTGAGGGGCTGGGGCAACTGGCGTGTTTTGCATGAGACATGCTGTGCAGACCGCCCGATCCCCAGTCCTCCCTCTACCCCTCCCCCTCGACGGGCGCGCTCAGCTGCACCTCCTGCACCGCATGCACCCCCGCCAGCAGCTCCCCCACGCTCTGCCGCCGGGCGCTGATGCACCGCAGCCACAGCGACACAACGGTGCCGATGCCTGCATGGGGTGTGGCTGGGTGGGTGGGGTGGGTGGCGGCAGGGTGTGTCGGTCACCCTCCAGGCTGCCCAGCCGTGGGCCATGGCAGGAGCTTCGCCAAAGGCGGCAGACCATGCATGGCAGCTTCCCAGCAGCTGCACACCACCAGCCGGACCCACCCGCCGACCCCGCCACATACACCAGCTCCAGCAGCCCAGCAGCCACGCCGCGCCAGGCGGGCGCAGCGTGGCCCCAGCGCGGCTCCTCAAACCACAGGCCTGCAGGCAGGGAGGGGGCGTGTATGGATATAGGGCTGCCCGCTGAGCAGGCCAGCCGGTACTGCTGCCGTGCCAGGCCGCCACAGGCGCATCTCAGCAAGGTGTGCCGCCGCGACCCGCGACCTGTGCGTCGCCCAATGCACGGGCCCAGCCGGCGCAGCAGGCTCACCAAACAGGCCTCCGGCCGTGGGCCGTGCCTGCAGCCACGGCGCTGCCGCCAGCCACAGCACCGCCGCAGCCGCGGCCGCCCTGAGCGGGGTGGGCAGCGCCAAGGGGGTCATGCACAGCCAGGCGGTGGCTGCCGCCGCCGCCACGTCAGCGCCAGTGGAAAGCAGGTAGTCAGCGGCCAGCATCAGGCGGGAGGGCGGCTGCACAAGGTCGCAGAGGGGTGCGGCGCAGCCACGGGACAGCAAGCCAGGTCAGGCTCCGCTGCTCAGTCCACACCACAGCGGCCAACTCTCAAGAGCAGGGCGGAGATCGAAGCTTCCTGGGCGCCGGCCAGGCATGCAGGGAGGAGGTGCCACGCAGGGCAAGAGCACAGGCTGCGGTGACGGCCCCAGTCCGAGACCCACCCTGCTCTGGAACACGGTCCTGCTGCCGGCGCGCAGCAGCTGCCAGAAGGCGGGCGGGTCGAGGCGGCGCAGGCGGCGGTACAGCCGTAGCCGGCTCTTGCTGCGGCCAACATCGGAGGGGGTTAGGCCCCGCGCCTGCGGCAGGCAGGCAGGCAGAGCGCAAGGGTGGGCAGTCAGCAGGCAGCACAGGCTTCGAGCAGATGGGCGGCGCAGTCGGCAGGCAGGCGGCGGCGGCAAAAGCGTGGGCAGTCGGGTGGGGAGCAGGCTGCCGCCTGACGCAGTGCGGCCAGCTGGCGGGGCCGGCAGGCTGCCACGCCAGCGCATGCTGCTCGGTCTGGGCAGGGCTGCGGAGGGGCCTCACCTTGAGGAAGGCGCGGAACTCTGGCGTCGTCTCCAGGCGCCGCAGCGACGCCTCCGTGAGCTCGCTGGCGCTGCCCTCCTCCCACTCCTCCTCCTCAGACTCCGCCTCACCTGCGCAGGCACGCAGGGCCAGGGGCACATGTCGGTCGGTGTCCTGTTGTGGCGGTGGCGGGTGTGGAGGGTCGGGCGGGGAGGCCAGCAGGCCCCACCACGCAGCCTGCCGGCAAGAGGACGAGGAGGAGAGGAAATTGCGGCGGCGGCGGCGGCGGCGGCGAGAGCGGCATCTCACCGTAACCCATGCCGTAGCGCGTGCCGCTGCCTGGGCCCGTGCTGCGCGGCGGCTGGCTGCCGGGCGTGGCTGCGGCTGCCTTGGGGGTGCGCGGGTCGGCTGCTGCTGCTGCTGCTGTGCTGCGGCGGCCCCCACCCAGCCCTGCCAGCTGCATGCCAAGCTGCAGGATGCTGAGTGGCAGCAGCGCCACGCTGGCAGCAGCATCGGCGGCTGCTATCAGCGAGGCGGCGGTACGGCTGCGGTGCGGCGGAAGCGCTGCCGCCGGCTCTGCCTCTCGCTGCCTGGCAGGGGCAACGGCCTTGGCGGCGCTGCTGCTGGGGTCCAGGGGCTGGGGGCTGTGGGCAACAAACCGCCTGCACGGGATTGCAACGGCCTGCTGGTTGGAAAATGCAACACTACCCAGCTGGCCTCTGCGGCAGGGCATTTTCGGACGATGCACCGCACGATCAATGGAAAGCATGGTTGGGCAGCGGCTATGTGGAGGTCGGATCCTGTGTCCTGTGCTGTGCACAACCGGAGTGAGTGCCAGTTAGCTGAACCCGGGGACCACGGGGCTGGCCACAGCTGCCACCCACACTTTTGCCGCACCTGCTGCGAATGCCTGCGGGGCCCGGTGTCCTGCGCCTGTCGCTGTGGCGCTGCCAGAACCTGGAGACGAGTGCCAACAGCATCAGGGGGAGCATGACCCAGGCCACAGCCAGCTCTGCGTGACTTTGGGGCTCCCACGCAGTGAACGACGTGGCGGCGGCGCCGGCGGGTGTTGGGCGCCCTTCAAACTCAGCGGTTTCGCGGCACAGACGATCGGCGGGGTCGCAGCCGTACTGGTCCATGGCACCAACGTCTGGGTAGAGAGGGTGCCGGGCGTGATCAAATCGGCGTTGCGCAGTGTGTTGGCCCCCACTGGCGTGCCCGCATGTGTACAGTCATATGCCGTGTGAATTGCGATCCGCGGGATTGGTTGGTGGCCTCCTCGTGCCTGGAGTACATTCATCTGAGCTCGCAGTACACATGTCGATGAAAGTCAGACGCGTGCTCCCCGGAGTCTCCACAGGGCCCATTGTCACTCCTGTCGCTCTTGATTGTATTCACTGTATTGGGGTATTCGCTGCCGCGCTGTAGGGGCCAACTGGGGCGCGGGACAGAGATCGCGAGGTCTGTGGCCCGGCTGGCCGCAGCAGGACACTAACTGCATCCGAATCGTCAATAAGGGCTGAACAGGGTGCCCGAACATGGACATCCAGGGCAGTCTGAGCCCTCCTCCCCACCATAGAGCCAACCACACCCCCGGCAGCGGCAGCCGCACATCCATGGAGGAGAAGACATCCCGTGGGGGCCGCGCAGGCGGGCGGGGCATGAAGCTAGGTGCCGCCGCCCGGCGCAAGGAGGAGGCAGCGGCGGCGGAACCCCTGCTGCCTCCAGCCTCGCCGCCACCTCCGGCGGCAGTTCCCGACAGCAAGAAGGACGAGGAATGGGGCGGGGACGATGAGGTGCGTGCTGACGGGCAGCTAGGCTGGGCGCCTGCCCGGCGCCTCTGTGCGTACCGCACGTTGCCACCGCTACAATTCCCAGCGCTCCCGGCCGTCCCAAGCTCTCCCGCCTGCCCGCCGCTCGCTGCAGGAGTGGGGCAGCAGTGGGTGGGACGCGGCGGAGGCCGCCCGCGCCGCCGCAGCCGCCCCGCAGCCGCAGCTCCCCGTGTCACCGGTGGGTGCGCTGCTGGTGGCGGGTGGTTGGCTGCCGCAGCTTCATCCTGGCACCCGCTGCGTGCCAGCGGCGCGGCCCCATTCATGCTGCCATCCATCATCCATCCAGCGGGCACCCATTCAGCTGATCCAGCCACGCTTTCTTCCCCTGTGTTGCCTGGCCCCTTGGTGTGCAGAGCGGTCGCACTATGGAAGGCTTTGGGTCGACGTCCGCGCCCGCCGCCGGCCACAGCGGCCCCGCCGCCAGCCGCGCCGCCAGCCGTGCCGCCAGCCGCGTCAGCGCGCTGCTGGGCAGCAGCCAGGCCCGCATGGTGGGTTCTGGGTTCTGGGAGCCGGGAGGGAGGCCGGAGTGGCGCTGCCTGGCTGCGGCAGTTTCCGAGCAGCTGCGGTGCATGCGGCCCACCGCCACCAACAACACACCAACTCCCCCACCGCTCCCCTGCTGCCACCCGCCCGCCCCCTGCTCAAGCGCTGGCCGCGTGCTGCGCACCATTCCACCTGACGCCTGCCGGGGGCGCCCCGCCCCTTGCCCGTGCCTGCAGTGCCTGCTGCTGCTGGGCCTGTTTCTGGTGGTGGGCGGCGTCAGCATGTCCATGGCCAAGCGCAGCCGCAGCGGCACAGAGGCACTGGTCACCGCTGAGCTGCGCAGCTACAGCCACGACAGCGACGGCCACGACGGCGGCGACGGCGGCGGCGACGGCGGCGGCGACGGCGGCGGCGGCGGCGGGGACGAGGGCCCAGACAGCGAGGGCGGCACGCGCGCGGCGAGCGGCGAGGAGGACGATTGGGACACGGGCCTGGGCGGCGGCGGTGGCGGCGGCGGCGGCGGCGGGGCCGCGAAGAGCGGCGCCTTTGGCGGCGGCGCCGCCTCGGCGGGCGCAGCGGGCAGGTTGGGCGCCTTTGGCGGCGGTACCGCCAACAAGGTGGCCTCGGTACTGGCCAGCTCCGCCTCCTCCTCCTCATCATCATCATCATCATCATTCACCAAGGCAGGCAAGGCGACAACAGTAAAGCTGGATGATTTTGACGACCTGGATGACGACCTGCGGGAGGACCGGGCGCGCAGGTGGGCCGGCGGCGTACCGCACGTGCGCGTGCCGTACCGCACACGCACGCACGCATGAACGAATCGCAGCGCGGCTGCCGTTGCCGCAGCCGCATGCCTGCCTGCCTACCCCTGCCCGGGCTGGGCGCTGCCTGCGGCCTGCCAGCCCCTGCGCTGCCTCCCTCGCCGTTCGCTGCCTGCTGCCGCCGCCAGATGCTGTACGCACACACTGTGCCGCTGTGCACACACATTGTGCCCGCACCTGCCCCTGCAGCGGCGCCGGCGACAAGGGCGGCGCCTCGCGGTTTGACGGCGGGTTTGTGGAGGATGAGGATGAGGAGGACTTTGAGCTGAATGGCGGCGAGGTGGAAGCGGATGACGAGGCCGACTTTGGGGATGGCCTCCCCTCCTCAGGCTCTGCCGCCTCCTCCACTGGCGGTACCGCCCTGGGCGCCGGCGGCGCCTCCTTCGACCATTTTGCGGCCATCAAGAAGGCCACCGCGGCGGTGGGCGGCGGCGAGGACCGCAGCGGGCGCAGCTGGGCGGACAACATCGCGGCCGCCGCGGGCGCCTCCAGCACCACCGGTGCCGCCACCGCAGCCGGCGGCGGGGCGGCCTCCGGCTCTGGCACGGGCACCGGCACGGGCACGGGCACCGGCAGCTCTTCCACCACCGCCACCATGGGAAGTACCGGCGGCGCCACCGGCACGATCGCGGGCAGCGTGCTGGGTGCCCTGGGCGCCAGCAGCGGAGCCGACGGCGCCTCGGGCGGCGCCGCGACGGGAGCAGCCGGCGGCGGCGCCCTGGGCGGCGCTGGCGGCACGCTGGGCGCGACCGGCGGCGCTGGCAGCTCACTGGGAGCCTCTGGCGGTGCAACGGGGACTGGCGGCGCGCTGGGGTCTGCCGCCGCCACAGCAGGCACCGGCAGCGCCCAGGGCTCTGCTAGTAACTCTGCCAGCACCCTGCCCGCCACCGCTGCCTCCACCACCGGAGGCCTGGGGAGCACGCTGGGGGGCGGCGCTGCTGCGTCCGCAGCCGGCCTGACAGGTGGCCTGGCCGGCGACGCGTCTGGCGCTGCGGCGCTGGGCGGCACCGGCACCGGCACCGGCAGCCAGCCTGCCGGCCTCGCTGCGGGCGGTACAGGCTCCAGCCTTGGGTCGTCTGGTGCGGCGTCTGCCGGACTGGGCACTGCTTCAGGTGCATCAGGGGTGTTCCATGCCCGGGCAGGCCGCCCCGAACCTTCTGCCGCCCTCGCTCACGTGCGTGCCTGGAGCTGCCTCATCCAGGATCCTGCTGCCGGCATGCAGTGCCTGACACCTGCTCCCATGCCCGCCTGCCTGCTCCCGCAGGCACCACGCTGGGCGGCAGCGCCGCCGCCACAGGCACTCTGGCCGGCGGCGCGTCTGGCGGCGGCGCCGACTCTGCAGGCACCGGCACCGCCTCTGTGCAGCAGCAGCTGGCGCAGCTGGGCGTGGGCAAGGACCAGGCGGGCGGCCAGGCCGCCGCTGCCTTGGGTGCGTGGTGTTTTTTCTCTCTCTCGACAGTACCTTCCGCAGCCACCAGCCATGCTCAGCCCTTGCTCGGCCCATGCCAGCCTGCCTGCCGGGATGCCCCCCTCACGCGTGGATCAGCCTCTGCAGCGCACTTGCCCTGCCTGCGTGCCCCAAGCCGGCCGCGTGCCTCCTCGCCTTCTCGTGCTCTACATGCAGGCACCGCCCTGGGCGCCGCCGGCGGCACTTCTGTCCAGCCGCGCGTTGAACCCCGGCTGCTGCCTGACCCCACATCCCTCCCAGACGGGGCTGCCGGCGGCGGCGGCGCAGGCGCAGGCGCTGCCGCGACCTCTGCTGGTGGCGGCGCGGGCGCGGGCGGCGCGTCTCAGGCGCTGGACATGGTGGCGCAGCTGCAGGCCAAGATTGCGCAGCTGGAGCAGAAGCTGGCGGGGTCGGATGCCGCCTCGGCCGCCGGTACCGCCGTGCAGCAGCAGCAGCAGCTGCCCAGCACGGCCGGCACCGCCGCTGCAGGTGCCGCCACCGGCGGCGCTGCTGGCACGGCGGCTGGCGCGGCCACCGGCACTGGAGTCGCAGGCAGCCTGCAGCAGCCGGGAACCCTTGCCACAGGCGCGGCTGCCGCCACCACCGGGGCTGCCTCGGCGGGGGCTGCCGGCGCCGCCGGGGCTGCAACCGCCGGCCGTGCCGATGTCGAGAAGCAGCTCGACAGCCTGTCGACGGCTGCCGCCAAGGGTGAGGGCGAGAGCTGGCGCGTGCTGCTGCTGCCACTCCCGCTCCTGCTGCAGGAGTCTGCTGCTGTTGGCGAGTCGGAAAAGCGCCGCAGCCCTCCCACGCCTCGCCTTTGCCAGCGGACGTGACGCCTGTGCTGCACCCCCCTGGTGCAGGCCCCTCTGCAAACCCTTTCATGGTTGAGAAGATGCTTGAGGAGGAGGAGGAGGAGGAGGAGGTGGAGGTGGAGGGAGCGGCCAGCACAAGCGCCACCACCGCCGCCGGCGCCGGCGCTGGCGCCTCTTCCCTTGGAGCCACTGGCCTGACTGACAGCAAGGCTGGCACGGCCGCCAGCAGCGCCGGCAGCACATCCGGCGGCACGGTTGCTGGTGGCGGCGCCGCCACGGGCGCTGCGGCTAGTGGCAGCCTGGCTGCCAGCGGTGCATCCCACCTGGCTGTTGACCCTGTTGGGCCCACCACCACCACCACCGCTTCAGCAGGGGCTGGCGCAGGCAGCGGCATGGCCGTTGCAGGCAGCGGCGGCTCTGCAGGCGGTGCAGGCGCGGGCGGTGCCGCGGCGGCGGAACACAGCTCCTCTGCTGCCGGCGCTGCCGACACCACACTGCCCGCTGGCAGCATGGGGGCTGCAACCGGCACAGCCACTGCAGCGCAGGCCGCATCAGGCGCGGGCAGCGCAGCTGCTGGGAGCAGCGGCTCGGCCGGCGCAGCCGGCGGGGGCCTCCCCGCCGCCGCCGCCGGTTTGCCAGCGGTGGAGGGCGCCGCGGGGGGCGGCCAGCCCAGCGCCACCACCGCCGGCAGCACCACCAGCCTATACGCCACAGGCGGGAGCGGCGGGGCTGCTTCTAGCGGTGCGGGGGGTGCAGGTGACGAGGGCGAGGAGCCAGCTGGCACTGCCAGTGCCCAGGCGGGGGCCCAAAAGGGCGAGGCGGCATCCACCCTGGGCGCCGCCGGCACGGCTGCAGCGGGCGCCGGACCG